TACATTAATATACCCATTGGAACTGTTTCAAAATTGTCAATGTTTAAAAAAAAACCCAAAAAAACACCACACAATGCTTTTAACTTCTGTCCATGTTACTGTACATATGTGTAAATGTAGTCATTGAAGAGCTGTCAAGAATTTTTCATCAATATTATTTAGATAGTGTCTGTTTCGATTTAAGGACATACAAAATTCAAATGACATGCATAGTATTTAATATAGTCCATGCTTGCATATTCAAGCAATCTAGCCATTGCTGTTAGAGAATTAAAGTACACAGTGACACTTATTTTGCAGATGAACTCTTATGATCAAGCACTGCTATAAATATATGCCAAATAGTAGAAACAAAAAACAGTTCATAAGTTTAATAAACTTTTATTTTTACACAATTCTGATACAAGAATAAGAATATTTCCTTTTATAAATGTAAAGACTTTGAAAACTAGAGGATGCTTTTGTAAAAAAGCGCATGTCTCCCCCACTGCTGAGAATAACTGTGAATGGAAACAGGAATGGAAATGGAGATAAGATAATGTAAATACCCGGTAGTCACTTCAATGAAGGCTGTCTATGGATGGTTTCTATTGTTAAGGTTGTATGAGAAGATGCTTCCTAAACTGTTTGTTTTTAACCAGGTATTCAATTTTGAAAATCCTGGTTATTCAATCAGCGTATGGCAGGCGGGCGTCAAACGAAATTGCACTTGTGACCTTGACCTTTGACCTACTGACCCCAAAAACAATAGGGATCATCTGCTCTATAAGACCAATCATCCTATGAAGTTTGAGGGCTGTAGGTCAAAAGGAACTCTAGTTATCATCCGGAAACGAGAAATTGACCAACGGTCACTGTGACCTTGACCTTTGAACTACTGACCCCAAAAACAATAGGGATCATCTGCTCAATAAGACCAATCATCCTATGAAGTTTGAGGTCTGTAGGTCTAAAGGAACTCTAGTTATCATCCGGAAACGAGAAATTGACCAACGGTCAGTGTGACCTTGACCTTTGACCTACTGACCCCAAAAACAATAGGGATCATCAGCTCTATAAGACCAATCATCCTATGAAGTTTGAGGGCTGTAGGTCAAAAGGAACTCTAGTTATCATCCGGAAACGAGAAATTGACCAACGGTCACTGTGACCTTGACCTTTGAACTACTGACCCCAAAATCAATAGGGATCATCTGCTCAATAAGACCAATCATCCTATGAAGTTTGAGGTCTGTAGGTCTAAAGGAACTCAAGTTATCATCCGGAAACGAGAAATTGACCAACGGTCAGTGTGACCTTGACCTTTGACCTACTGACCCCAAAAACAATAGGGATCATCAGCTCTATAAGACCAATCATCCTATGAAGTTTGAGGGCTGTAGGTCAAAAGGAACTCTAGTTATCGTCCGGAAACGAAGAATGGACGGACGGACTGACGGACGGACGGACTGACGGACTGACGGACGGACTGACGGACAGGGCAAAAACAATATGTCTCCCCCCGAGGTGGGGGAGACATAATTAACATGAACAAATTATCATAGAGTTATAAATCATATTCTAATTGAAAAATGTTCAGCTTGATATCAAAGCTTTGAATGCAAATTTGTGAGCTTATCAATGATTACCTCACAATATTAGTAGTAGATGATATATAATATTTTTGCTAATCTTTACTTCATAGTCATTTAATGTCCATAATGTCATATGACTATACTGTGATTCCATGAAAAACCTTATCTCTGGTGTGTTATCAGCTTTGGTATATATAGAGTATCTAGTTTTAATACTTAAACCTGCAATGAAATGTGGATATTTTACTCTGTTTCTATCATTGTGACATTAACATGTTCATAGTGTGTCAAATACATAAAATCATACTCTTTATACATTAAGATTTTTTGTGCTGGATGTCATTCATCTTCTTCAGGAAAGTACATTTGACTACTCTCAGTGGCTTATATTAAACTAATATTTCACTGTAACTGTGTGTTCTCTGATATCATTCTCAAATTAAGGAACTGGAAGATGGTAGTTGCAATAAAGGTCTTCATGGACAAATCCTCCTTCATCTTTTCCCTTTTTACCTGCAGAATGAAAAATCAATAAATATGTTGTTACAAGTGTAAGACACTAGAAATGATATTTACATTACATTTAATAAGCTGGTCATGATTGACAGAAAAATTTCATATTTGAAGTAAATAAACATTAAAGATAAACAACAACACATAATATATAACAGTCAAAAATATTGATCTTCTTGAATTTGAAACATGACTATTTTTAATGTTTTATTTACTTATCAATTATCATGCAGTGAAATCCAAGTTATTAATATATTTGGATAATTGTTTATCTTTCCAATCTCAACTAAAAATTAATCAATTATTTTACATGTATTTACCTTTGATGTATAGATATTTCAGGATCATAGGCAGTGCAAACAGTTGATTAATGGTCCATATTGAACAACTGTATATTCTATACTTGTCATATACCCAGGGCTCACGCTGTCGGTCGCCATAGTCGCCATTTGCGATTATTTTATAAGATTGGCGATTATTTTTGCATTTTGGCTACAAAATCTGGCGATTATTTTTTACTTCCAACAGTGTTTATATAAGGTGTAAAAATCGATAATGAATGCAGTAGACCCAATTAACACCAGCGGGGTGCATTTAATTGAGTGTCAACTTTTTACCGGTCACGTGCTGCTAACTATATTGCCCGAGGTGATAAAATACATGCGAGATGTATAATTGTATAAGTACTTAAAAGATATTGTCCAGCATTTATAATAGCCATCAAATATCCGTCAATTAGCCACAAAAATCGTTTTAAAATTGATAAACTGGATATTGACTTACCCAAAATTTACCGTGAATTCCAGTAATTGCAAATTTTGATTTTTGTTTTGTTTTAAGCTACTTGACTTAATCGCCAGTGGAAAACAATGGTAAAATATTTTAAAAGTATTAAATTCCAAACAACTATTTGCACAACAACCAAAATTGTGAATATTTCTTCAGAAAACAAGAAAAATCCGATTGTCACATATTTTCGCGACACCGATAATTTTGATATTAATTTAAAGGTGAAATAAGCTATGTTCTGTTTAAAAATCTTTACTACTATGGCAGAAAATTTGTATTACATTGGTGATGATGATATTTTTCAGTAAATTATTCAGAAAAAAGGCTGCATTCTGTGAATGAGTCTGAAACTTGTGTTATTTCTATAGGCTAATATGACCTAGATCTACTCCAGTTCTGTGTGAAATGTGGAAATTGACAGTGGTTATAGCTGACAAAATTTGATTAGAACAAACAAAAAAAGTTGTCTGATAACAGCATTATGTAAAGTTATAATGAATCTTTAATATTATTGTTATACATGTAATTATACTAATTATAACGTTTTTATTCTGTTATAACAGTAACAATTAAAGTTGTGGTTCTATTTAAAAAATGATAGTTATCAATATACACAAATGTATCCGTTTATTTGAGAATCCTTATAAAACTAAAAGATATAAATGTAATGTTTATTTAATCAACTGCTTATGTTGTTAATCACTAATTCGTGATAGTCCGCTGAACTTTTGGCTATTATTTTTTTAAGTTGAAATTATTGGCTATTATTTTATTTGAGCCAGTGTGAGCCCTGTATACCTCCTTGTCTATACATCTGAAATGGTTTAATCAAATATAATATTTTTTAAATCAATCATAATTTGCTAGGTACCATATTAACATGTATATATACCTGAAAAAGGAACAAGAATAAAATGGAAGGGAAAAAATATCCGAATTACTGTGCAATGTCCGAATTTTGTATAACTTTAATATACACTAGAATTAAAATGTTTCTCCATTGTTTATTTCAACAAGTTAAAATGGTTTGAATTTATTTCTCACATCAGTAGTTTTAAAACAATACTAAAAGCTAAACAACTAGAATTCACAACCTTGACAAAACATCCGAAACAATTGTCACTATCCGAAAATAAACTAGTTTTATTAAACTCTGTAAATCCCTCGTTTTTCCGTCAGATCATTGACCTACCTGCATTTTTTGACCCGTGCTATCCATTCCTTCAAATCTGAAGAGGACCGAAACAAATTTAACTTCTATACCCCTCGAGTTCTTCGGGTTACCTATACGCGTAACGGTAAATAAGTCTGCCGATGTACCCGGAAGTGGTAAATCGAAAGTGAAAGTAAACGAGACTTACGGGCCCTATTTTCAAGGTCTTTAGATACCTCTGATGTTTGGGCCAAAATAGGTCGTGAATTTATTTTTGCACCGCAAAAATTTACAAATTTCCTTCAAATTTCACGCCACAAAAACAACAGATCAGATGACGAGGGAGCCTTAAAAGTACCTATATTACTTACTTTAATATATTCTTAACCGATTTGTGCAAGTTTAATCAGTTTTCTACAAGTAGGTTAAGCCTGATAACTCTGCAGATTTTATACATGTTCACCCGTTTTTAACAAACATCCGCCATTTTGTCGATCTCATTCATACAGACTGGAAATTTCCACACCCGATTTACGCCATTTGGAAGCGTAATCTAGTACAAATACACGTACATAACAAAAACATAAGATTTACCTGTCATTATTTCTTGAGTATTTTGTGCCGATGCTCGTAAATTAACACTTAATTTACAGATTTTTCATCAACAAAATTTGCTCCGTCCGCCATCGATTAAATTTTTTGGTAGCATGTGCGCATGCGCACGACCGACACGACAGCAAGCTCGGTCTAAAACCTTGTTGCGGATACCGTTAATATACGTACCTGGTTTCTAATATCATTATTAATGATTATTTCGAACTGATTTTTTGCATGAAAGTCAAACTTAACCTATTGTAATATATAATAATGAAAAAAATATAATAAAACGCTTAATTGTGATTTTATAAGTTGATTTCGGTATCGTAACGTACCGTAAAAAAAGACTTAACTTAATCGTCTAAAATACATACCGGTTCCCAGCTTCGTGTTGACAACAAAACTTGGAATTCCCTTCGACTTTTCCCGACGATGTGTCTTCCCGTAAGGAACAATGTTAATTTCTTCACAGTCATTATTTGTACATTTCACATAAAGATATCCCCCAAGACCCCTCTGTAACTCGCTCACAATGTTAAAAAGCGTCAGTGGAACTGGTCCAAGACTACAGAATTTACAACTCTTTAAACCAGAAAGAAGAACATCAAACTCCACGATTCTACGACCTGTCTTCCAGCCCATCCTTGACACATTTTTAGGCAATTTCGGCTGGCATTCACAGTCTTGTCCATTACACAAATGTGCTCCAACATAATTGTGATCTTCTATAACATTCGACTGTTTCTTAATTCGCCGAGAATTCACAATTTTCTTGTAACGGCCTGTTTTATCGCGGACTTTCATTTTGACATTTACGGTGAAGGACGTTTCATATAATCTCTAAACAAACTGGTGGATTTCAAACATCCGATAATTTCAACGAATCGTTGGGAATTTGGGTATAATATTGTTAATTTACCAAACAAATAGCAGTTATTTAATTTTTGTTTACAATACTTTTACGAAAACGCAATTTGTAACGTTTATATTTTTTAGAGAATAACTAAGCCGAGTAATCCCGAAGTACCTCCGTAACTGTTACGAGGAAGGGCGGAGTTAGGCGAAATTTCACGATCTAATAATGGGTCTAAGACCTTAACTTGAGCTTAAACATTTTTTTTCTATTTTTTAAATACTGTGACCTACTTCTGATTTTCAACCAAGGTAATCCATGTTCAAACAGTTTTCCGGTATACGCTGGTAAATTTTGATACGGAGCTCCATACTCATTTTGTAAAGAATTTTAGGGCAATTTTATTGCATAAATGTAAATCAGGAATTTTATTTGATTTAATATCTATCTGAGTTGGTTCGCCCCATTTATATAATTCTGACGACTTTACTATATTTACAATGTATTTATTCATGTTATACAAAAGTTTAACGCGTAGGTTTAAACTACGATTTTATCAATGAACTGTTATTATTGGTTTTTCTTTAAAGGAATGTAGAGTCTATAATTTAATGAAAATGAACGATTTGGAACTTTCAAAGCATTTAAACAACTTTGCAAACACTATTTTAATGATGTGTAGTTGGAACGTAACGCTACTGCAGAATGAAGAACTAGTTTCTTTAGCGATTTTTATCCGGGAGTGGATGTTGTTCGGTAACGACTTAACCTGTAACGATTTCTGAGATATAGCTTATAAGCAATGTATACAAAAAGTCGAAATGTCGAGTTAGTAAGTCGAAATTGCGAAAGAACAAGACGAAATTTTGAGTAAATATGTCAAAATTTCGAGTTAATAAGTCGAAATTTCGACTTTATAAAAAACACACACCTGACACTCATGCTGTTCTGTACAGTCATAAGTTAATGCTTCGGGAAATTTGAGATAAATTGTATATTGCACGAGAATCACGAAATTACCGAAAAATGTCGTCCCCCTAGATCATTGCAAACTGTTTGCAAAGTGACAAAATGAAACAAACGAACATAAACATTTCAAATTTTTTAATTTGTTGTAAGCGACTTTGAATGCCGACTGTTTCACAATACTTTTACTTAAAGTACAAACATTTATAGAGTACAAGATAAGCGCTATCATCTTCATTTCCAACAGCATTAACAACATAAACATATGTAATACAAAAATCTTATTAACTTGGCGCAACTTCATATCTTACAATTAGTTAGATATTAAAATTAGAATTTTCTTCACTCATTATCGTCGGCTGTCCTAGCGCTGCATGAACACGTTGTGCATTATTCCCGAGAAACTCGTGCGCTGCACAGCGCCACCTATTGCAAACAATTACAACGAAACAGGGGGAAATAATTATCTTCTAATTCACTGCGTTCAAACGCAGAAAATTATATTCCCCCTAGATCATTGCAAACTGTTTGCAAAGTGACAAAATGAAAGAAACGAACATAAACATTTCAATTTTTTTAATTTGTTGTAAGCGACTTTGAATGCCGGCTGACCTCAAAGAACGGGCAAAGAAGAGAAACTAATTGCGCCAAGTTAAACGTTGCGACATCAATATTACAATATATGCATAAACTAATAGTATTAATACTATTATAAACCTAAACTTTGAGATACTAACAATCTTTCCTCCATATTGTCTTTGATATAACCGTCTTTAGCGTTTTCACTAGACCAACGGCCGTGTCTTTTAAACATTCTGTCTTTAATGCCGCGGTTAGCTGCGGCTGAAGCTCCGCCTGAGCGCAGGGAATGTAAACAGAACTTAGAAACATCTTTGACATGTGGAGCTAACGCTTTATGAAATAAATCTCTCAAAGTAGAATAAGAAATGTGTTTATCAACAAGTTTAGGTTTATGCCCTATTAAAGTTGCACTTAAACCACAGAAAATATATAAGAACTTGAATCAGTGGAAAAATTAGCCCATAAAAAATATTTTTCCAAATTTTAAACTGGGCACAACTCTGTACCAGTTCTTGCTATAACAAGCCAAGCACCGTCCCTATAACGGTCAGTTTTGCTTGATTCTATGAAAATATCAATATGAGTATTATGTAAAACAACGTCATTATAATGTAAATTCAACAGTTCCGAACTCCTTAAAAAACCGGAGAACGATAAAAGTAATGCACAAATAGTTCTCTGTGTAAAAACATTTCCTTCTTCGAACAAACTGTGATACATAGACTGTAATAATTCAACTGTAATCGGTTCTTTTTTATTAACAGGTTTAGCTAAAATGCGTTTAGCTGCCTCTAATATGTTAAGAACAATTTTAGAATAAGTCGGAGAACTAAAGTTATAAATGTCATGAAACCACTTAATGCTGTAAAATGCCGTTATTATAGGCCTACAAGAATTAGCACTTTGTATCAATGACGTAAGATATAAAGCCACCGGAAAATCCCTTGCGGGCAAAATGTCCCCACTACCAAGACCGTTAGCTAAAGCCCAAACCCTCCATCTGTTGAAAGCATTTGTATAGTTTTTGCGCGTGCTGTCAGCTCTAGACTGGAGGAGTATATCCGGCAGTAGAGTCACTTTGTCCACCAGGATCTCCGGCAGGCTATCTATCTCGTCACGATGGCTCTGGAAAAATAAATGTATAATCATACTTTTAAATTACATGAAAACTTGATTGCGTGTAAAATTCATTATATATAAAATTTAGAAAACATCTCCTGAAACTTATGCTTAAGTGACGCAAATTAACCGTTTTTAAAATACCAAAACAATAATTCGAGAGACGAAAGTGTCTCTCTATTTATATACTCGTATAAACGTCTTAATTACAAAAAAAATATCAAAAAACTAAACGAACAAAAATATTCTTAACATATGTATGTCACGGTAAGATAAATACAATAAAATGCTAAACTTTATAAAAATTAACGTCGTGTATGTTAAGCCTTAAAGGAAACAATTTCACAGTTAATTAATCTTAAAATTAATGGCTGCTATAAGCCTCATTAAACTATTCTCATGGCTGCTAATAGATAAATACAGAATCCCTAAAGAAAGCCCAACACGGCAAAATTGAAAATGTTGCAGGCTCGGTTTAATTGAGCCTGTTCATGGACGGTACTGGAAAGTGCAAAATACCGTCCACGCCCCCTAGCACCGGCTTAAGCAGAATTCAACATTTAAACATGAAGTAGTAAAATTTTGAATTTAGAAACATCCGCAGATGTGTTCATACGGCGGTAATCATGGAACCTTCAATGTGACACTTCCGTGCCATTCCATGAAAAGCGGCGTATGGTCCCCAAGTAATAAAATGCGTGTGCCCTAAACGAGAAAACAATGGGCAGAACTAAACAAAATGGAATTTTGAAAGGGGATCAGAGGTTATGGAGCCTGCGTATCACAGATAAGACGTCAAAAGACAAATTTAAAAAGCAGGCAACATATCCTAAGGGTGATTCAACATTATTCAAGTAGGAATATTGGAACCACCCAACTAGAAAATGCCGAAAAGTTGAAACTAAAAATACCTCAAGCACAACAATAATGTCGTGCTGAACGATCTTCAAGGATCGAAAATATAACATCATTGATTAAATGTACGGGGAGACTTTTTACAGCCGCCACACGGCACAAATAACACGGATGTGATCATAAAATAGATAAATACAGAATCCCTAAAGAAAGCCCAACACGGCAAAATTGAAAATGTTGCAGGCTCGGTTTGATTGAGTCTGTTCATGGACGGTACTGGAAAGTGCAAAATACCGTCCACGCCCCCTAGCACCGGCTTAAGCAGAATTCAACATTTAAACATGAAGTAGTAAAATTTTGAATTTAGAAACATCCGCAGATGTGTTCATACGGCGGTAATCATGCTAAGCCACATTAAGCTATTCTCATGGCTGCTAAGCCTCATTAAGCTATTCTCATGGCCGCTAAGCCTAATTATAAGCTATAATATCATGGCTGCTAAGCCTAACTAAACTATTCTCATGGCTGCTTAGAGCCTCATTAAGCTATTATCATGTCTGCTAAACCTCATTAAAGTATAACCGTTAGCAATTCTCATGGCTGCTATGCCTCGTCAAAATATTCTTATGCCTTGCTACTAAGTATAATCAAAGCACTGAATGTACTGATGGGGAGGCTATGAGAGAATGTTTCAGACTTATAGTTTCTTTTCTTTTTGCTTAAAATATGCTACCAAAATAAAAAGATATGCACATTGCGCTATTTATCCTTACTGTTGTGTTCAACCATTCATATATATGGTTAATGAGGTTGACTATTCATTTTGTTAATATTCCAGAACATTTAATTAAGGTCTTAATTCGGACTGTTAATCATCCAAATTTTGAAAAACCTAAACTGTCAATAATAAATGACATACCAGCAAGTATGACGACTGTTATTATCAGATAACAATAACATTTTACAACTGACGGTTCCTTATCAAAATATTCTAGGACTGTTCATCATAAATATTTTATGTCATTTTAATATTATTGAATGATAATAACAACTGCAAGTGATGCAACATTTTTATTGAACATAAAAAGTATACACGTTTAGATGTACCATAATTGAGATCAATAAGATACTGTCTTGTGATGAGTATTAACATTCATGCTCTGCGGACAGAAGGTTGTCTTCTTCAGAAGCAAATCTCGAATAAAATCACGTTTCAGAAAATTAATCCCATTTCATTACTGACGGCGTCGGATAATATTAAAGCTAAATAGTTCTTGAAAAAATACATCTCTGCAAAGCTTATTCAAAACTGAATCAACCTAAGTGAAAATTGATCAGGAAGTTATATCTTCTTTTTTTACCGCCAACACTCAACACTCAACCAACTTTTGGTCGTTAATCGATAGATTCTACGTGTATTTTTAAACCTCACTAGCTTGAAATATATACTGCGGAAAATCTGTTGTTAACAGGGTGTGCGGTTATTACGTAGGGTTTTCCCTGTCGACCATTTCCCGCAAATAGATGAGAACATCG